GGGGCAGTGTAGGAAAGGATACCATTTAATTGTTAGCGATTCTTATTTTGGAGGACGCGAGAAAGCCAAAGAGATTGCTAAAAAGATTGATCAGAAAATTAAATCTTTGGAACAAATTGGTTGATTTGTTTAGAAATCCTTGAACGTTCATTGACTCTAGGGCATACCTTCTAAACGTTTGAGTTTTCTTCTACTCGTGTTTTTTTTGTTTTTAAAGATCATCCTATGAGTTCTCGCCGTTCTATAATTCCCTTTCTGGTTGTCATTCTTGCGTCTGCAACCATTGCGGCAACAGACTTATATTTGCCTAGCATCCCAGGCATGACAGACTTTTTCAAAACAACAGAAGAAGCAATACAGCATACGATTAGTTATCATCTTTTTGGGATTACGCTTTCAGGGCTTTTTTATGGTCCCTTGTCTGATCGTTTTGGTCGTCGTCCTATTATGATTTGGGGGATGGGGCTTTTCCTTTTGGGGAGCATTGCATGTTACTTTTCTGATCAGGTATGGGTGTTGACTTTTTGGCGCTTTATCCAAGGAGTGGGGGCTGGTGTCACAGGTGTTGTAGGAGCAGCAAGTGTGCAGGATGCTTACCGTGGTGAAGAAACAACACGTGTGAAAGTTATGGCCTGGATGGGGGCTTCTATCGCTTTAACCCCTGCTTTTGCCCCCGTTTTAGGGGGACATATTGATGTTTGGTTTGGATGGAGAGCAAATTTTTTGGCGATTGCTATTTTTGCCCTGATCGCTTTTTTAGCCGCAGCGTGGTGGCTTTTTGAAACACATAAACCGCGCAGAACACTCACTGTTAAGCGTTCTGTAACAGGGTATCGACGTATTATGACCCATGGTGCGTATATGGGATATTCTTCTCTGTTTTCCCTATTGTTTGGGGGGTTGTGGGCTTATATTACCGTTTCCCCAATTTACTTTGTGGAAATTTTAGGAGTTTCCCCAGATGTTTTTGGATATTTTACGGCATTTGTTGTGATGGCCTATTTCTTTGGGGCCGTCTTGACAAAAAAAGTATCTCAGGTTTTTGGGGTTATGAGAACCTTAGAGATTGGTCTTTATATTTGTGTCGTGGGGGCGCTCGCGCAAATTTTGGTGAGCCTTTTTGTAGATATTCCTTCTGTTTGGCTAGTATCCAGTATTCAAGGGTTTTATGTTGGGGGAATGGCTATGGTTTTTGCTCCTTCAACATCTCGTGCTCTTAGTATCTTCCGAGGTTCAGGTGGATCTGCTGCAGCTGTTTTAAGTACAATTCGGAATGCGGCCTCTGCGTTAGGAGCTTTTTTGGGTGCTTGGTTTTCTGATCAAACCCTGTTTTATGTGGCTTTATTAATGTTGGCTGTTTCTGTAGCTTCTATGGTTGTATTTCGCCGTTTAAGTTAAAGATAAAACGTACATTATGTAATTCCTTGTTGAAGGGCGGCTAAAATATTGTTACATCAAGATCCTATACACCTTGCGGGTGTGGCGAAATTGGTAGACGCGCTAGATTTAGGTTCTAGTGACCTTTGGTCGTGGGGGTTCAAGTCCCTCCACCCGCACCATAAACAGATATGCGATTCACTAGGGCGAGACAAGAAATGCAAATCACTTCAGCAAAATCCAAAGGCTTAAAACACGATTTTAAAATCAAGGTTCCTGCAAAAAATGTGCAGAATATGGTAGAGCAGCGCTTAGAGTCTATCGCAAAAGAGGCAAAGATTGATGGTTTTCGCCCCGGTAAAGTCCCTTTGTCAGTGGTGCGCCAACGTTTCTCTGATAAAGCTACAGGTGAAGCTTTGGGGGAGGCTGTTGATCAGGCTTCTTGGAAGGCATTGGATGAAAAGAAAGTCAAGCCAGCTTTGCGTCCACAATGTAAAATTATCAGCTATGATAAGGGGAAAGATCTTGAATTTGAAATGTCTGTTGAGGCATTGCCAGAAATTAAAGCTCCTAAGATAGAGTCTCTTACTTTTGAAAAATTGAGTGCAGAGATCTCTGATAAGGATGTCGATGCTCTTTTGAAGCGTACAGCTGAAAATTTAGACTTAAGTGAGCCTGTCCAAAAAGCACGCGCATCCAAAGAAGGCGACACTCTTGTTGTGGACTTTGAAGGGCGTGTCGAGGGAAAGGCTCTCGATGATGAAAAAGTGAAAGATTATTCTTTTAAAATTGGCTCTGGCCGCATGATGCCAGAGTTTGAAAAACAGCTCATTGGTAAGAAACCTGGAGAGACAGTAGAAGTCAAAGTAAAGCTTCCAAAGGATCATTCGGACAAAGAATTTGCAGGTAAAGAGTTTGTCTATACCGTTGAGATCAAAGAACTCAGAGAACCCAAGTCAATTAAAATGGATGATGATTTGGCGAAGTCTTTAGGGCGTAAAAGCTTAGAGGACTTGCGTAAAGAAGTTCGCAGCCAAATGGAAAATGAAAGTGAAAATCGCTCGTTTGTTCATGAAAAACGCCAAGTTTTGGATGTGTTGGCAGAGAAGACAACGTTTGAAGTGCCAGAAAGCTTAAAAGAACAAGAATTTAAGGTGATTTGGGATCAGTTACAGCAACAAATTTCTCATCAGCTTGAAGACAAAAAGCCTTCAAAGAAAGAGCTGGATGATTTGAAAAAGCAATATGAAAAACTTGCAGATCGCCGTGTGCGCTTGGGGCTTCTTTTAGCACAGATGGGGGAAGAGCATAAAGTAACCGTTTCTGATAAAGAACTCGGTCAAGCAATTATGGCACGAGCTCAGCAAGATCCTCAAAGGGCAAGTGAAATCGTTGATTATTATCAGAAAAATGCAGAAGCACGGTCTCATCTAAGAGCTCCAATTTTTGAAAATAAAGTGGTGCGCTTAGTTTTAGATAAAGCCAAGGTGAAGACGAAGAAGCTTCCTTTAGAAGAGTTTAACAAGATTGTTGATGAGGTTTCTGGCGAAGAAGCGTAATTTTTCGGCACTCTATATTGTATTAACGATCGCTTTTTTTAAGAAGCCCTTGCCAGTTTCTGTCAATTTTAAGGGGGTGCTGGAAGAAGTCTTAGGGGATATTGCTGATTGATTGTGGCTTTTGGCATTTCTTGACATTTTTCTTTTCGGCAACAATTTGTGAAATAAGCTTTGATTGTTTTATTGAGAAAGCGATAAAGAGAAAAAATTTTTTGAAGATTCAAGAACTTTGTCGTGGACAAAGTTTGGACTTGGGCTAAAGTAGTTAAAAAACAACGGGAGGAGAAACCCTTTATGTCCAAGTCAGCTTTAGAGGTCTACAATAGTACGCTGGTTCCCATGGTCGTAGAGCAAACCAGCCGAGGAGAGCGCTCTTACGATATTTATTCTCGTCTTTTGAAAGAGCGAATCATTTTTATGGTTGGGGAAGTGAATGATCAAACGGCAAGCTTGATTTGTTCCCAACTTTTATTTCTAGAGGCTGAAAACCCAAAGAAAGACATCTATTTTTATATTAACTCTCCAGGTGGCGTTGTGACGGCAGGCTTGGGTGTGTTTG